CTGACCAAGGGAAACATGAAAGAATTCTTTATGATACTGTGTATCTTACGTGTATAAGAATGTTGTACACACATTAAAGAATCTATGCATGGATTAAAACTCAGAATTCTATTGCATGTAGATTTTAAAACGACAGGCTACAGAGTAGGAGAAAATGTTTCCAAAACATATATTTGATAAAAGACTTGTATCCAGAATACATAAATAATTTTTAAAATTCAATAAGAAAACAACCCAATTAAAAATGGAAAGATTTGAATAGACACTTAATCAAAGATGATGTACAGATGCTAAAGTATGAAAAGATGTCCAACATTTCCATTTGTCAAAAGCAAATTAAAACCATCATGAAATATACTTATTAGAATAAGTAAAAATAAAACATTTAAAAAGCTTACAATACCTAGCCCTGATAAGGATGCAGAACAACTGGAACTGGTAGAACTACTGGTGGGAATGCAAAAAGGTTACAGCCACCTTGGGAAACAATTTGGCATTTTCTTAAAAGTTAAGAATACCACATGATCCAAGAATTTTACTTGTATATATTTATGCAAGGAAAATGAAAACATATGTTTGTACAAAAACCTATGTATGAATGATTATAGTGGCTTTATTCATAATTACCCCAAGCTGGAAACAACCCGAATGCTGTTCAGCTGGTGAATGGATAAACAAGATGTGACCCATCCACATAGCAGAATTCTACTTCACCAAAGGAACAAACCATCAATATATGTAACAACACAGATGAATTTCAGATGCATATGCCAAATGAGAGAAGCCAGACTTAAAACGCCATACACAGGGTGATCCATCCTGACATCCAGAAAGAGAAAATCTATAGGAACAGAAAGCAGATCAATGACTGCTGGAGGCCACAGGAGGAGCTGACTACAAAAGGACACAAGGCATGTTTTAGAGGAACAGAACTGCTTTGTATCTTGATTATGATGGCAGTTACATGACCATATGCATTTGTCCATACTGAAAGACACGTGTACCCTAAAGAATAAACCTTACTGTATGCAAATCATACTGTATGACTAAGAAATATCAAGATGTTGCTTGGAGTTGGAGAACTTGACCCCCTGTGAGTTTCACTTTTTCTTTTCCTTCAATTTTCTTTTCAAGTCAATTAAATGTTGAGTGTTGACACACATCATCTATCATGCTAAGCATTTCTGAGACAACAAAAGAAGCTTAAAATCATCTCAAGTTGTTCATAATCATGAAGACAGACTTTGCTGTTTAGATTCAATCTGGAAAGTAATAAATGGTCATTACAAGGCCTCACGTGCAAAGATGACTAATGGGTGTAACATCTTAGAAAGGTCAATCAAGAGAGTTTTGTGCTGTTTAGATTACAGCTGGGAGTGAGGAGAGTGATAAGAATGTGGACAGAGTGGTAGCAGTCTTGGGCACCTGGTTGGCAGATGTGGCACATACTTAAAGACAAATCAGGGGCATCTAAAAGGGAGAAATCTTTAACTTTATGAAATTTTATAGATTTTTACTACTTATAATGAAGGACACTGTACACTTTTTAGTCTTGGGGCCAGACATTAATCTATCTCTTGGCAATAAAGATGGAAAAAAAAAGGATAAACCTGAAAAGTTTAAAAAGAAAGGGCTGGGGTTGTAACTCAGCGGTAAAGCACTCAGTTAGCATATGCAAAGACCTGGGTTTGGTCCCCAGCATGGAAAAACAAAAACAAACAGCAAAACCCATGAGCAATGATAAAAAGAAAAGATTAAACCAGTGAGTTCAAACTTATGACCTTGCAAGAAGTTAACGTTTTATTAAGAGGGAAAGTTGAATAGAAGCTTTGATGGGAGAAGACACACTGTTTTGCTTGGGCATCAGGCAGTTCGACGTAAGAATGGACCATTCATTTAGGAGATTCCCTTCATGCCACTGCTGTGCCTGGGCTTCTGCCTGGCTTCTCCTTCTGCCCTGTAGCAGAACGCTCTTCCCCCTAGCTCCATGGTGTCCCCGAATGGTCTCTCACCTTCAGAACGAGACCTCCCTGGCCAGCTTGTTTTACACCTGTGGCCAGCCCTCTCGAGTCCTCCTGTCTTGCTCTGCATTTCTGTGTCTCACCACTTACTACCTTTTGCTTTCTAGCACATCTACTCCCTCAGAATGCCCGAGGTTCACTGTCATCTCCCCTTGCTAGAATACAAGGCCACAACAGCAGGGGTCTCAAGTGATTCTGTCCCTTGGTGCCTCTAAGCACATAAAATAGTACCTGGCACATCCAAAATGCACAGTAAATGCAGCTTGTGAATAAGTGAATTACAATAATTAACATTTACTATGCATACACTTGGAATACACCATTTTGCTATGTACTAAACATAATTTATCTCATTGAATCCTCACAATTACTTTACGGAAGTAAATACTATTATTATTTCCATTTTAAAGAGATGGAAACAAAGGCACTGACAGATTGAAAGAGTGACCCAAGGTTATACATAGCTAGTAAGAAGTGTAGGGCTGGGGATTTAGCTCAGAGGTTCTGCTGCCTGCCTTGCAAGCACAAGGTCCCAAGTTTGAACCCCAGTACCAAGAAAAACAGAAAAAGAAGTGGAGCCAGTGTTCAGACATAGAAATGGACTCGAGCATAGAAACACTGAGTCCAGAGCCTGTAAACACACATACTTGGGGTTGGCTGGCAGAGGACTGTTGGTTGACAGACAAGATTTAGCAGATGAATTTGTAAGAGGAAGCCCTTTGAAGGAATGAGCTATCCAAGAGAAAACTGGTACTGATGATATGGAGAGATGCTAGGAAAGAGATAATACATTGGCACAATTCTGAAAAATAATCAGTGGAGATATATATCTATATATATTATATATAGATATATATTATATAAATATATACATGGACTGGGGATTGAACTCCAGGGCCTTCACACTGAGATATATAATCAGCCCTTAAAAATTTTTTTACAAATTGAAACAGGTTCTTGTTAGTCACTAAATTGCTCAGGTTGGGCTCGAACTTGAGATCTTTCAGTCTCAGCCTCTGAGTGCTGGAATTACAGCCTGGCTCAAAGTGGGATTTGAACTCAATTTTTTCATATCTCAATAGTTTATAAGGGAGACACAGTTTAAATTCACACCTTTAAAAATGGGAAATGCTGGTTGAATTTGTCTTAGTCGCCATTTTTCGGCAAGGTTGATCTAAAATAAAATCCACTTACTGATGCTTACTGTAATTGCTTTAGGTAATTTGGTTTCTTTTTCACAATACAGTTGGGATAATTTGTTATTCTTACATAAAATCTCTAAGAATTCATGATCAAAATGAGATTAACAACACAAAAATAGTTTTTGGGGAAAAAAAGTCTTAATTTGGATCATTGTTTTCCTAGCTCTAGCAGCAGCTCCTGATTATAAAAATCCTAGCCCGGGTTAGATGCAGATTTACTCTTCCGGTGTGTGCTCAGGAAGGGGTGACCTTTCACTCGTTTATGTTGGCCGCCCTCTTGTGGCGAGTGGTGAGTCTGCGCGTCTCCATCTTGCTCCATCTTGCTGAGCCAGGAGCCAGCTTTGTCTTGACCCCTCTAGGATGTCCCTAGAAACACATGCTGTGTGATTTCACTTCTGGAATGGTCTCTGGTGTTCTTCAAGCACACGGACAAATGTGTTGTTTTTATTTATAGATTTGATTCTCTGTATATCTTTGTGCCAACTGTTACTATGACCAACTTTAGTTATAATTATTTCTGCTTTCTATTTAACAGAGGATAATTAGTAAATGAGAGTTGGGAAAAATTAAGTCTGTTTGGAAAGGATTTACATGTGAAATCCTAACTTCACGCCTTCCTCCAAATAACTGCACCTTTGTGCTAAAAGCATAATATGTGTGTAAGGCTGAGAAATGTCAGAAGATCTTGGGACTGTGGATTCATCTTATTTAGAAGCTCTCTTAAGCTTGGGGAGAAAGTGGTAATGTTTGGGGGTGAAGGAAGGGGACCCCTGCCTCAGCTCTTCAGCCGGGTTTCCCATGCATAGACACTTGCTGATAGCTCTTCTAGAAAGTGGTAACAGATAGTGTATATGCCTCCCTAGTTCTCACATCAACTCATCCTGTATCATGGCTCCCATTTTAATCTCACAAACTCAAAGGAGAGTGTCTTTCATGATACATTGCAAAGGTCTTGAATCTTTGGAGTTAAACAAGTGAGTTTGAATTAAAACCCTGACATTTAGCAGTGTGGCTTTAGACTCATTACTTAATCTATCTTGTTGCAGCAAGGGAACATCAGTTCCCAGTGGTCAGTAGCTCAGAAGAGGACGATTCCGAGAGCCTTTCATTTCTGGCAGGCAGGGAAGCATCGTTCGGCTCTGCTTCCCTCCCCCTCATTGCTGATTTATCATAATGTGGTTGAGAAGATGAGGCTCACACTGAAATGCGAAGCAGATAAAACATAATAAATTGAAAATTCTTTTGATGTATATTCTCAATTTTCTTTACTGTATTATCAATTTGTCTTTATGTGTTTGAAAGCTATTGCAGTAACAATGTATACATTTAAGATTGCTGTCTCTTCAGGTTAGTTAAGTTTCAAAAAAATCATTATTTGGTAACCTATAATAATGTTGTTTGCCTGGAAACCTATTTTGTTTGAAATTGCCTTTGGTACAGAAAACTCTCCTTTGGCTAACACTTGCCTGGATCAGGTCTCTCTGGCTTTTTCTGTGCAATTCTGAAAACCAAAAAGTTCTGAAAATAAAAAGCTATTTTTATAATTCTCTTGGTAGCAAAACCTGATCTATGCTGATGTGAGACTATTTGTAGTCTTTATTTACTCTACTTAGTGTGAATATTTATGCACTTCTTTTAGAAATGTTACTCTGATTAGGGGTTGCTGCCTCAAACCCTATTGAGGTGTGATGTAAATACATGACATGTGTTCCGTATGAACGTTTATTTATTTATTTTTTACTATAAAGTGATTTTATTGCTAATAACTTTATGAAATTTATTCCCAATATTTGATGTTACAAACTTTAGGATCTTTGCAATATGCAGGATCCTTGTATGGAACTGGCATAAACCCCATTATTTGAGCTCTGTTAATTGCTTTTGAAACTTCTTTTTGTTTTTTTCCACAGAGACCTGTTATATGCCTCCCACGAATGCATCCAGTATATGGAGAAATAAACTGGGACAAAAGCTGCTCATTCTTATAATCTACATGTTTCCCACACAAGATATACTTTTTAAGGCCTTCCTTATAAGGATTTTCCATTGGAACAGGCAGGTTCTTGTTGCTGGTTACTTGTTTATACTGTGAACAAGCTCTTCTATATAACACTGTGTGAGTTCCAGAATCTGTGAGGCAGACAGCAGCTGTTACCCAGTATGTCAACTTCTTCCTCCCTAGGCCACTGCAAACAGTGACCACAGCAGCCATGGTTTCTAGTCCTCTGTCTTCCTTTCCTTTCTCCAAATCTCATATTAACTTCTAAATTAAAATTAATCTGCTTTGAAATACAATTGACTCTAGGCTTTAGGTTAAGAGCACTCTCTTGGCAGAGGAGGTGAAATTTCTGGGCCTCTGCACCACCGCCCTCAGTGCCGAGGAGGTGAGCCTTGTGGGCACCAGCAGCACACAGCCCTCCACTCCCTTGAAATGAGAAGACATGTAAACAAATCTCAAAACCAGACTTACAGATCACCAAAGCAACTTGAAAGGGAAATGAGATGAAACAATCTGATACTCAACCACTTGGATTCCCTGAACTGACAACAAAAGAGGATCTGGAAAAAATGTAATCAGAAATAATTTCTCAGAGGGTCAGGGATTTAGCTCAGTGGTTCTGTCTCCTGCCTTGAGAGCGCAAGGTCCCGAGTTTGAGCCATGGAACAACAGCAACCAAAAAGAACTTACTTCTCAGATGACAGCAGAGATTGTGCCCATAGTGCAAGACATGATTAATAAATCTAGAGAGGACACAGATAAAAAAAATTAGAGGAGCTGAGGAACATGATGGAATCCCAACATAGGAAACAAATGGAATCCATAGAACAGATAAAAACAATCTCCAGGAGATTAAAAACTCCATCGAAAGTTTACACAGCAGAATGAGCCAATGTGAGGACAGAATTTCAGATACAGAAGATAAGATTGCAATTAGTGACCAGGAAAAGAAAAATTTCCTTAAAGTACAAAGGGACCATGAGAAATCCATCCAGCAGCTGCTGGGCGATACAAAGAAGAATAAAATAAGACTGATCAGAGTCAAAGAAGAAACAGGAGAGAGTACAGATGACATAAAAAAAAACTGTTAAAAAAAATTATTCATAGAAGTAACTTCCCAAGCAGGAGAAAAGAACTTCACATACAGATGAGTGAGGCATATAGGAATACAACTAGCCTTGATAAAAAAAAAAAAATCTACACATAGGAATATAATTGTTAAGATTCCAGAAACCCAACAGAAGAACAAAATTGTACAAGAAGTTAGAAAAAAGAAACAAATCACATACAAAGGAAAACCCATCAAATCACAACAGACTTCTCAATACAAACTATCAAGGCAGGAAGAGCTTGGAGTGACATATTCCAAGCCCTAAAGCAAAACAGCCTCCAACCCAGATTGATGTACCCTGCAAAACTATCTTTCAAAATTGATGGACAAATAAGATACTTTCATGACAAACAACACCTTAGCAACTTCATGAATACCAAACCAACACTCCAGAAAATTTTAGACAATATCTTAGGAAGAGAAAATGAGAATCACAATCCCAGGAATCCAAGCAGAATGAATCGATTGGGCATGACAAGAAATTAAATGCAAGGGGAGAGAATCCAACAAAAAGAAAAAGTCATGACAATGATAAGTCAATATGTATCACTTATAACCATAAATCTTAATGGTCTCGATTCACCAATCAAAAGAAATAGACTGGCAGAATGGGTCAAGGAGCAAAATCTAACAATATGCTGCATACAAGAAACACACTTAATTTAAAAAGAAACTAATAGACTGAAAGTTAAAGGGTGAAAAACAATACTCCATGTGATAGGAACCCCCCCAAAAGCAGGAGTAGATCAAGTGGATTTCAAACCAACACTGATTAAGACAGATAAAGAAGGACACTACACCCTTGTGAAGGGAACAATCCAAGAAGAAGAGATGACAATCATAAACATATATGTGCCAAACACTAGTGTGCCCAATGATATAAAACAAACACTAATGGACATGAAAAATCAAATAAGCAAAAAAAAAAAATCAAATAAGCACTAATACAATAGTAGTGGGGGACCTCAATATCCCACTGTCACAAATAGGTAGACCAACCAGACAAAAAATAAACAAGGAAATACCAGAACTCCATGACACAGTTGAACAAATGAACTTAACAGATGTTTACAGAGTCTTCCACCCCACAAAATCAGAATCACAATCTTTTCAGCTGCACACACGTTGTTCTCCAAAATAGACCACATATTTGCTTGTAGAACATGTTTAAGTAAGTGCAAAGAACTTGAAGTTATCCCCTGTATATTATCAGACCATAGTGCGATGTTATTGGAGATAAATAACAAAAGAAACTGCAAGAATTTTATAAACACATGGAAATTGAACAACACACTTCCGAATAACTAATGGGTCACAGAGGAAATTAAAGAAGAAATCAGATAGTTCCTTCAATTAAATGACAATGACAGTACAACATATAGGAATCTATGGGACACATTGAAAGCAGTCTTATGAGGGAAATTCATAGCAGTGAATATGCATATTAGGAAAACAGA